CTCCTTCTCCTTTTTTATAAAACACAACATCTGGTGCTCTGTTACAGCAACAGAAAAGCAGACTGTGACACCTGGTGATTAATTATTAGTGCCATGTGCCTCATAAATATTGTATTACATTGATATCACATGAGCAACATCAGAACTGTGTTTATACTAGGGACCTTATAGCTGTGATGGAAATAGGAAATTTCCAGAAATCAGGGAAAAGGGAGCCTCTTGAAGCCTTTTCAGTTTCAAAGGCCAGCTCCTCTAAGAATGGAAAGGATTCAGCGTATAAAGGAAAGAAAAACTTTTTATCCTTGTAAGACCTAATAATTAAGTCTATAAAATAAAATTATGATAATTAAATAGAAGTAAACCATTTCAAATTACACACACACACACACACGCATGCCATAGTCCCACAAAAAAATGTAACAGAGAAGGGCCAGTGAATGAGGATTTGATAGTATCCTGGTAGGGAGTGAGGGCTTGATGCTTCTGGGTATGGAGTGGTGACAAGAGATGAAAAGAGGAACAAATGAACTTGGGATCAATCATAAAGAGTGGGAAGGCACGGGGATGTATCTCAGAGGCAGAGGGCGAGCACTTGCCTCACTTGCTGAGGCCATGAGGCTCAACTCCTGTACACACTCATACACACAGTCTCTCAGATAATAAAAGTCCCCTGAGGATGCTTCAGAAGTGTAAGTAATTGTGGACTGAGGACAGAGCTCGGCTCCTAAAGGCCTTCCTTACCTAGTATAGATGAAGTACCAGGCTCCACATCAGCACTGAAGAAGGCATGGCAGTAAACACCTGTAATCTCAGCACTCTGGAGAGAAGCAGGATGAGTTTAAGGTCATCCTCAGCTACACAATGAGTTGAGGCTAGCCTAGGCTGTATGAGACCCTATCTTAATAAAATGAGAGCGGGGGGTGGGGAAGGAGAAGAGGGAAAGAAAGAGAGGGAAAAAGAGGGAGATAGGGAGAGAGAGAGAAAGGGAGAGGGAGAAAGTTAAATTGGTAATGTATCTTCTTTCCTGTGAGAGAACCTTCCCAGGTTGATTGGATTTCCAGGCAAGGGACTCATGACAACAGGACTCCTGTATCAGGGGGTGAAGGGGGTGACTATCTTCAGGCCAATAAGAATACTTCAGAGAAAGTCCACACACACACTTGGGGGTGGGTAAAGGTGACAAGAGACAGGAGGGCCTGGATGTCAAAGAGACATTGGTTCTGAGCCTGCTTCTGTAGTGTATAGTTTAGCATGCCATACTGGCTCATTAGTTGTTGCAGGTTTTTGGCCAACTTGATATAAGTTAGGGTCATCTGGGAAGAGGGAAAAATGCCTCCATCAGATTGTCCTGCAGGCAAGTCTGTGGGACATTTTATTAATTTATGATAGAGGTCAGAGGGAACAGCCTACCCTGTGTAAAACCAAGTGTGTGTAAAACCAGGCTGAGTGAGCCATGAGAGCAAGCCAGTAAACATCGTTTTCCCAGGGCCTTGGCTTTCATTCCTGCCTCCACATTCCCGCTTTGAGTTCCTGTCCTGACTTCCCTCAGTGATGGGCTGTGATTGGGGCATGGAAGTAAACTCTTCCCCAAGCTCCTTTTGGCCATGGCGTTTATCATAATTGAAAGCAAACTAGAACATATGCCAAAGTACCATACCTTGGTGAGTCATTTTCCTGAATTCTAAGAAGGATGTTTGGTTTTAGGATGAATAAAATCACCCTGGAGGAAAAGGTATGTGCATAAGATGTTGTGAGTCCCTGAAAGGCCTTGTTTCCCCATCTGGCACCCCTAAAGCCAGAGCTGCTGCTGCTTAGGAAATATGTGGACACATTGCCCCCAAATCCCCAAAGTATGTCTGTTTCTCATGAGACTGTTAATCATGAGTGTGGCCTGAGAGTAGAGGATGAGGTGTCAGGCTTTCTTAAACAGCTGACAGAGAGGATTAGATGACCTTGTTCCTTTTCCCTATGTCAGTGGCAGGAATGAACAGACAGTCCCACATTGTCACTCACAAAAGCTTGAGGGGTCTCTTTATTCCTTTAGGGATTATAAAACATATATACATTTATCTATCTATTTTGTGCACTGGTGTTTTGCCTGTATGTGTCTGTGTAAGGGTATCAGATCCCCTGGAACTGGAGCTACAGACAGTTGTGTGTAGCTGGTCTTGGATACTCTGAGTTCTTCTTTTCCTTATCTTCTATCTCCCTCCCCCACTTCACCACCTAACAGCAGATAGGAGAGAAACAATGACAGAAGGGAGAGAGGAATTAAGAAAAATCACTGAATCTAATTTCTTTCCTTTTGTTTCTTCCTTGACCATAGCTACTAACAAACTACAAACAGCCTCCCTAAATGACTAATAACCACCTATCAGAGGGCTCTAGCATTTATATACCCTCTGAAAAAATTTGCAGAATTCCAAATGTCACACAATCGCAGAAACTATCTGCAGCTGGCAAAACCATGCTTCTGCTAGAGCATGAGGTAAATCATAGTCAGCTGCTGTGGACAGTCTGAAGCAGCCTCATATCCCTACATCTGGGATTAAAACAAAAGCACATTTTTATAATACTTCTGCGTTTTTAAGGAAACCAAAATTTCAAAATTTAAGGAAACCTGTCTCTCTCTCTCTCTCTCTTTTTTTTTTTTTTTTTTTTTTTTAAGACAGGGTTTCTCTTTATAGCCCAGGCTGTTCTTTACTATATTCATTCCCCTTGCTCTATTTCTCTGTCCAATATTCACAGCTTCTTACCTCCACCATGTTAACCATTGCAGATGTGGACCAGCCTCTAGTACAGCTGTCAACAATCCCTTCCAGTCTCGGGGAATAATTCAATTTTGAGTAAACTAGTTATTTAGAATTTGTTTAAGCCGGGCGGTGGTGGCACACGCCTGTAATCCCAGCACTTGGGAGGCAGAGGCAGGTGGATTTCTGAGTTCGAGGCCAGCCTGGTCTACAGAGTGAGTTCCAGGACAACCAGGACTACACAGAGAAACCCTGTCTCGAGAAAAAAAAAAAAAGAATTTGTTTCACATAAGGCAAGTGCATCCCATATGAAATCATAGCCTCTTTAAAATGCGTTAGATCTGTCATTGCTGTAGGACGCCATCCTGTCTCATCATATCCTGTTCCACACCGTTCGCAGGCATATGCTGTATGACTACTAGGAAAGCTGATGGTGTCTTCTAACCAAAGGCCACCTCTAACTCTGGCAGTGCCACTGGTTTGAGATTAACCCTTGCTTTTGAAACAGGTTGTTTTATCGGATTGTTCTCCTGCTTTTTCAGCTTTACTCTGCTCCATCCCACTCTGGTACAGTTTCTTTCCCTCTTCTCTCCTGCGAGACACCCCCACTTTCAGGATCAGTCACCAGGACTGAGACTATTTGTTCTCTCTTTTGCGGTGCCCCTCAGTTCTCAAGTGCGTCCACCTCCACTTGCAACCTTTCCAGTTGCCCAGTCAACTCTGTAACCCTTTCAGAAGCAAGAGAGCAGAGTGACCCCCTTTTGGTTTCCCATTTCAGCCACTTTTTGTGTCTTAGGATCCTCAGTTTTTATCCACAGTGTTTCCAACTGCTCAGCCAGTCTTTCAAACTTTTGAAACAAAATATAGGGAGAAGAAAAATTAAAAACAGAAAATCTCCCCACGGAGCAAAGTGGGGGATATCCAGCAACAGTAGCAGCAGTCATGATAAATTTCCTTGCTGGAGTCTTAAAAAAATTCCACTCCTTCATCCCCTGCCCTTTCCTCTACTGCATTTGAAATCCAAGATCTCTCTTTTTTTTTTTTTAAGTAACATTCTTTTTTTTTTTTTTTTTTTTGGTTTTTTCGAGACAGGGTTTCTCTGTGTAGCCTGAATCTCACTCTGTAGACCAGGCTGGCTTCGAACTCAGAAATCCGCCTTCCTCTGCCTCCCAAGTGCTAGGATTAAAGGCATGTGCCACCACTGCCCGGCAGCAGTAAAGTTTCTTGTTCGCCACGCCTGACAACCTGGATCTGACCTCCGGGATCCACATAGTAGGGAGTATTGTAGTGAGCACACTCAAACACAGTCTTAGAATACATAAATCGATGTAATTTTAAATTTTATAGGCTGGAGAGGTGGTTCAGCAGTTAAGACTACTCTTCCACAGGGCCTGAGTTCAATTCCCAGCAACCACATGGTGGGTTCACAACCACCTGTAATGGGATCTGATGCCCTCTTTTGGTGTGTCTAATGACTGCTAGTGTATTCATATAAACAAAATTTTAAAAACTTTAAAATTTTTTTACATCTCTACGCCTACCTCATCCACAAAGCTATCTTGGTGTTCTAAGGTTCTTAAAAACCAAACCAAACCAAACCAAACCAAACCAAACCAAACCAAACCAAACCAAACCAAACCAAACCAAACCA